AATGCCCTGAAATAATCCCACTGCACTAGGCTCCCTTTTGCTGTCTGCTGCTGCTCTCCTGCCTGTCTCGGCCCTGGACCATCAGGCTGCCTATTTAGGTTAGGCACGGTGACTCTGGGCTGTCTCCTCTCATACAGCTTGAAATGTAAATGCAAGGAGAGGCCACCTGAAACAGGGCAGTGGCTGCGTCACCTAAACTCACTTGTCACAGACAACAGACAGGCAGGGCATCTCCCTCTCCAGCCCAGGGCAGCCGCTTACCCAGCGATTGCGTACAGCCTTCCCCGCAGCACGGTGGCCCCCACATAGCAGCGAGGGGTTGTCATGCTTGTTACAGTTGTCCAGGAATCAGTGCGAATATTATAGGCTTCCACGGAGGAGAGATGTGCCGTCCCATCGAACCCACCAACTACATAAATATGGTCATTCAGCAGAGCCACTCCAGCCCCTGGAGAGAGAGAAGGCGGCGCAGTTACACCCATGAGCGACACCGACGGCACCGCGCCCAGGGCTCGCCGTTACAAGGCTGAACTAGGTCCGTTCCTCCCTCTTCGGAGGACGTTTTCTTATGCTTATATCTCCCACAAAGAGCTGCCATAACCCAGTGTATTGTTGTTGTCGTCTCCAATATGATACATGAAAACCTGTAACTCTACCAAATGCTGCTGAATCTCTGGCATAAGGGGGACGGAGCAGCACCACAGCCAGGGCAGCAGCAGCAACGCGAGATGTTCACCTTGGCTGAGAGACACCCCGACCCCCTGAACAGAGCAGCACAAGGCTCGCTCTGCTGGCAGGTAGCTGGCTGGGACTCTGTCACCACAGAGACAGGTTTTTCTGGTGTTTCGGGCTCCCTGGTGCCACCCAGCCCCTGGCTGTTACAAGGAGAACGATGCTGCTCCATGTGAAGCTGGGGGAGGGATTTCTTTGCCACTGCTCCTCTGGGAGGCAGGGAAATGAAAACCGGTGTCCACTGCCCAGTCACAGAGGCATAACTGGCCGAAACATCTGTCTGAACAGCTGTTCTCGCCTGCCCGGTGAAAGCAATCAATAACACAGTTGGCCCAACTGGGAATTTATGACAACAGCAGAAAATAAACCTTTGCCAGCCTCTGTTCCTCATCCGCAGCCCCCTTCAGGCAAAGCACCAAAGAACACGGTAAGATAGCAATGCACTTAGTGGTCTTGCGCCAACAGCCGCTGCTGTTTCGAGCTGCATCTCGAGGGCAGAGTAAAGCCTGTCAGGCTGTTACCATCACCATGTTGCACTGATGAATATCCTGAAGGAAACAAGCCAGCTACCCTGCAGCTCTTGGGCACTGATCTGTTTCTTCTACAAACAGGGTATAAGAGACTTTCTGTTCCACTAAATGCAAGCTCACTTTCGCTGTCTGTCCTTGCTGGGAGCACCAAAAGAGCTGGGAATGGCCAGGCTGCCCCCGTGGCATCTCCGATAGCTTCAGTGAGGAAGACTTTGGCTGAGAAGAGAGACCAGACCAAGGCCTCATCAGGGAGGCTGGGTCTAGCAATGCAATATGGTTTCTGAGGGGTGGCCTACATCCAGAATCTGTCCTAGAGATGAAGAGAAACACGGAGGAGACGATCTCTGTCAATAAAGGCAAGATAACTTTTAGTCCTGGTCTTTCTCGGAATTCGAAGACCCGCAAGCAGACAGCTCTAGAGAGTGTCAAAGCCTTGGGGCAAAAGGAGTCCTACAGGGTCTGAGGTGACCAGAGCGGACAGACTGGAACTGAGACCAGGATGGGGGCTGCAAGTGCAACTGGTATCTAAGCTACTGGTGGTTTGGGGTGTTAGTACCACAGAGCGGCAGCACAAAAACCTGGGCCAAAAAATGTTCTTGGGCACACCCCCGCTTCTGCCCTCAGTGCTCCAGGTCACAGCACTGAGGAAGGAACGTGGCGGAGTCAGTGCCGGGGTCGAGAGCCTCACAATGTTCCTGCTCGCTTGTGGCGCTGAGGGGTCTGCTCTGTGGGCTGAGGCACTGCTAGCAAAAGCCTCAGAGTCTTGCGGGAAGCTAGCATGGACCTGGGAAACGCTTCTCATAAAGGCTTTCCCCTTGAACTCTTTGCTTTTGGTCTTGCCAGAAGCCATCTTCTCTGGTGCACACAACAGACCCCTTGGGGAAAGCTGTCTTATCCTTAAGCTTTCTACAGATCCGTGGATAGGTCTCGCACGTCGCCTCTGATGTAGGAAAACCCACAGGTTTTATCACGTGTTTGTACGTGGGGTCTTCCTGGGTGTGGAAAGCAACCAACTTCGAAATCAAATCCATTCCTGGCACATGGGAAATACTTTCCAGCGCACACTTAACAGGAATAGCCCTGTCACAGAGGTAAATATTTAAAGCTTGGGGTTTTGGTGAATGCCACTGCATGCACAAGAAAGCTTAAATGTTTTTAGAACAGAGACCAGTTTTAATTGAGTAACCAGCACTTGTCCCTAAACAGGAACAGAGAACAAACAGAAACAGTGCTGCCTAGGCTAATTGCAAAGGACATTTAGAATCACAGAATCATAGACTTGTTCAGGTTGGAAAAGACCCTTAAGATCATCGAGTCCAACCGTTAACCTATCACTGCCAAGTCCACCACTAAACCATGTCCCTCAGCACCACATCTCCCCGGCTTTTAAATCCCCCCAGGGATGGGGACTCAGCCCCT